CCCCCCCCCGCGCTTGTGCTGCAACTCCCGTTTGGGCTGTAAACTCTTCTAAGGAAAAGACCTTATCTGCAAACCGCAATGGTCTTCTACCATGCCTCATAAGGGCCTGATTTTATCAGGGTAAAATGCCCCATCTGCTTACGGGAGGCTCTGGACGAGAGAAGCCTTTGAACCAGAGAAACTATGCTCACGTATAAACAGTAAGTACCCCCAGACTTTGGCTGTTTATACCAAACCTCCGTGCCTTTTTTCTCTCTGCTACAGCTTGTATCACATCAACTCTTAACTCACCTATAAAACATCCTCAGATAACTTAGTGCTTGTCTGGACTCTAAGCACATAGCACACAGATCTAAAGCTGCTCTTTGCCTCTTGGCCACGAACTCTCCATCCTGGGAGTACTTCTAGGAGAGGTGGGTGGCACGTAGGACAGGGCTGCAAAAGCACGCATTTGGGTTGGAGGAAGCCAAGAGTGGTGTGAGGTATCTAATAACTGAGTTGATAAAGGACATGTACCTGAACAACTAGACTTTCAAATTGTACAGACACTGCTTTCTGTAGTCACTTTATCCAACCGGTCATACTGCTACCAGGCAGTATTTAACGCCTTCCTTCTCACCTTCGGATGCCTGAAGGCACAAGGACCAAAAAAGGAGATTATTGCGAGCAACCCCTTCCTTTCCTTCTCCTTCCCCTCCCCTTTCCACCAGCCTTCTGAGACTTCTTTTATGAGCTCTATGAGATCAACTGACTTTACACAGTAGAATCAATTTTGGGCAGCTTCCGGGGTACAAAGCATCTTGTCCCAAGTTGCGTCCATGCGACCTGAGCTGTTCTTGTAACAGATATATCTGGAAACTGTACAAGGAGAAAGGGCCAATTACTACTGTAGTTACTAAGGCCTCTGACAGAACCCCTAACCTCTTTTCTGTTAAGTTTAACCCCTAGCTCAACTCTTCCCCTTCCCTTCTGAAGTTCTTTATCTTGCACGCTGTTTGCACTTTTAAAGACAAAGCCTGTTTTGTTCACTTAAAAGACAGCTTTATTTTATCCCATCATCCATGTTTAGTAAAACGGGTAACTGACCCGTTGTAGAAACAGACAGTGTCGGTCCGCCTGGTCAAATGATTCACAGATTTGCAGACCATATTTTGTTTATGGAACAATAGCTAAATTTCCTAAGTGGAGAAAAACATGCAAACAGATCTTACTATTATTTACCAACAGCTATAGGTGCAGTTAATACATAGCTAGAGCTGAACATGCCAGTATTACAAACTACCCAGCTACATTCATGTATTAACAAGATAATGGGGTGTGCGTATGTAAAAGTCTTTTCCCTAGTAAAGATAAAACCTAGTAAAGATAAAGAGGGCAGCCCAGAGAACATGAGAAATCTGATTTATTAAAGACGAGCCCGTGGCACCTGGCTGTTCCTCAGCTGCTAACAGCTCTGCGCTGCTCCACTCATGAGCTAGCGGGCGCATGCCCCTTTCTCCCTCCAGCCCACAATTTCTTTTGTGCATGGTGTAGGACCTGCAAAACTACTTGGCACCTTGCTGCAGTTGCTATATTAATCTTGATAGTGCATTTTTAAAATTTACTGGAAGAAAAAGTGAAAAATTTTCAACAGGCTAGCATGTATTTTCTTCCTCTTCCAGCATACATCTTTTTTTAGCAGGTGCAATGTGTTCTAGTAACTGCATTAGCAAAAGCTAAAAATGACTTCTTAAGCACAAGTACACAATCTAATTTCAATAAAACTGTTTTCTAGTTACAGTTGTATAGTTATAGCAGCATATAACCTTACTTTTTTTTCAATCACCCTTTGATTTGCATTGCTTGGTCACAGACGCTGATAGTCCGTGCTTTACCTCTGAAGGTGTGGAGCGGAAAGTATTGTGAAAAGAAACAAGGGAAGGAATTCACTCCTGTCCTCCTCACTTCTACCCTGGTCGCTGCTGAATGGAAAGGTATCAACTGTTACATTTTCTGTCACAGACAAAAACCACAATGGAGTAAAATTCACATCCTAGGAGGAGAGGGGTTCTGTATTATGAGATATAATCACGCACAGCAGGTGGCACTGATTATCGAAAATAAGCTTTCAGAGCTTTCCCAGCTATATTCTGCCCCTAATCATAGAGAGATGCCTGGAGCCTTTTGCAACTTAAGCCTCCTTCCTACCTACACATTAGTGGAACAGGGACACCAGCGACACAAAACCTGAAAGCAGGCTTTTCACAGAATCACCAGCGATTCTGTGAAGCAGAATCAGTTTGCTGTTTCTTTCCTTAATGATGATTTACATGCTAAACCGGCGTCAGCTATGCTGTCAAGACTGCAATAAATGGCTACATCTTGCATACCGCATACAGGCCACTTGGAATAAACTCTACCTTGAAAGCCTCCCTTACTCCTGCTCAGCAAGCTGTCCATACCACATCAAACAAATTAAAACAGCATTGGAGCAAGACCAAAAAATCCCAACTTAAACATGGCAGAGCAAAAACTGCTAAAGTAGGCTAATGGGGCTTAGAGAGCAGTACCACCTTCTTCCTAACTTGAGCATAGGTTTAGGAGTTACAACTGAAAATCCATCCTCCGCCTTCCTGTATGATGACTGGTAACAGTGTTTCTCAGTTGCCACGGCTGCTCAATTTATTAATAACTACAGATCAAGCTTCACACAAATATGTGTTTGAAGACTCGAGGATTATCTTGTTACTATTGCAATAACAGGGCTTAAATATGCTACAACTGAGTCACAGTATTTCATCGGTGAGAACAAGAGTATATATCCTTCTCAGCATTTTTCTACAGGGGCAGTGCAGTTCTGAAAAATCTTACCATGAAAATGCTGCTCTTTAATGGATCAAAACGATTTTGAAGGTTTAAAATGTTATTTTTCAGACCTCCCCAATAAACACTTACCACTGAAAGCATCAGACACACAAGTTTCCAGGAACTCTGACTAACCAGCATTCAGACAGCAATGCACACTGTTTAAATGGGAGAATGTGAGGACAAAAGTGACAAAAAAAGTTTCTACTTAGAATATACAACCCTATCTTCAGTCTTGCTTCAGAATACTATTGCAAAGCTCTACACAGCATGGTTAGGTAGTCTGAATCACTTACAATCCTTTCTTCATGTCTGACTTCCAAAGGAAGATAGTTTAAAATGTTTTAATTAATGTGTTTTCAAGTACTGTTTAGCAAGCCCATGGTCTCATCTAAAGTTAGATGCTTAACTAGCCTTCTCTACAAAAAGAGAGGGAACAGCTTCAAAAAGAAAAAAGCAACTTTCAAAAATGAAAATTTCTTTTATTTTTCATTTTGATACCCATGATTAAGACTACAACTGTTCAACAAGATAAACGTGACAGTTATACAAAACATATGTAATTATTTACAGACTTAACTGTACAAAATAATTTAAAGTTTACAAAAGTTTCATGCAATCTCTGTTGACTGACACAGTCTAGGTAATCTCCTTGGAGAAGCATAAAAGATCTCTGAATTTACTTCTTTAATGGTTCAAAAAAAGGATGCTGCAAGGCTTCATCAAGGGTAATTCTTTTGGCTGGATCATACTCCAACATTCTGCGAACAAGGTCAAACAGACTTTGATGATCTGTGTCTTGGCAATGCATGAATTCCTGGGGGCGCGGAGGGGAAGAAATAAGTAATTTAGAGACATCTTTCACAACTGCAAATTTAACTGAGAATAGTAATGAAAATGTTCTCTCCCACCTTTAAAGGCTTACAGCGTCTCCTAACATATCGACCTGCAGAACTATGCTCATCCCAATCCAGCTGGTCATGATGAAAATAGTGCTTTCTGCATGAGAAGAAAAATAATTTAAAAATAACGTCAGTGTTTCAATTGGGTGGATGTTTTTCCATGAAGTTCTGAAGCATCTCCCTCTGCATGTGAGATCCAACTTCTCTTTTGCTAACGTTTATCCACAGAGAAACCTGATGCTTTTATATTACCATTGTCACAGTATTACATCCACGTTTCAAGAGAATAACTCGGTCTCATCTACTAGTAACAAATAAAAGACAGAATGTCAGTCTACTGGCTTTTAAAATATTTCTTATAATATCTACAGAGTTTTAAAAAAATGGTTTACAACTATGTAACAAAATCAGATATTCCCAAATATCTTTATGAATATAGCAAATACATGAAAATGCCAGTGCAATTACAGTTCTAACAAATCCACAACTCAGCATCACATTAACTCTGCTACATAAGTAGCACCTTCCAATACTAGCTCACCCTAATGCAAGCGTAGCTATCTAACTCTTCTCTTGTTTTTCAAAAAAGCATTAAGAATCTGTTATGGTTAACTGTGGCCAACTCTGAATGCATTACCCAACTCAGAATCAGAGAAACTTATGCTTTACTGAAACTTGAGTCATAGGATTACCTAGATCAGCTGGCAACAAGACAACTTACTTCAGAAAAAGAATGGACCGTTAAATCTTGCACGCTCTGGCTTTGGGGCATTTGGCGGTTAGGAAAGAATCCTGTCCTGATTGCTTCTACTTACATTGGAAATGGGATACTTTTGCTGCCTGTATTATCTCTGAGGAAAAGCAGCAGATCACTGCAGCCCACGTGCAAGGAATACGAAGGGAGGGTGGAACAGGTTGGAGCTGTACTAGTAAGAGCAGGGCTCTCTTCTTCCTCTCGCTGTAAGTCTTCTGATGACAACAGGTTGTTGATTCCCACAGTTTACAGAACAAAGGATATCTACTACTGTTCTGGTGACCGTACACACTTAGCTTTACATGAGACTTAGCTTTACGTGAGCACGTTCATACTCAGTTACTGTTCAGGAAGCTGATTTTCGGCTGCTGGTAACTCAAACTAAAACCAGAGACATAACACTCTTTTCGACTATATAATTTAGCTAAATCTGAATGTGATGTCTTGCAACAGACTAACAAGTCTGGAAGTCCATTTGCTGACTAAATTTTAGCAGCTCACAGTGAACAATGGAAACTTTAAAGCTCCTCAAATCACTCTTTTATAATAGCAAAAGATCAGGCAACCTACTCTTTCTGTAAGGGTAGCTTACCTGGATTTCTTGATCATGTGAGCTGGCAGAGGCCCTAGTATTCTTTCCATCATTGCCAAATGTTCTTTGCTATCATGCGTCTGTTGGGAAAAAAGCAATGCACTTTTCACATTTTCCTACTCTCAGTTACTCGGTAACAACACTATCTATAAATGAGACGTGTTCCAGAGCATCACAGCATCGTTACACATTACCACATTTTAATTAAAAATAAGACTATGCAATGCAGCTTGTTATACTATACTACTTTCCACGGTGAAGATGGCCCTGGCAAAACAGAGTTTATAAACCAAGTTTTACACATGCATGTTTTATTATTCTAATTTGAGGAGCATCTTCAAATTCTAGACAGGCTTCATTGTTCAAAAAGCTAAAACAGGTGATCTTGAGTAGTCTGAAGGAGATGTATAGACATCACGTTTTCATATACATGCTGTCTTTACAACCTCTTCTATACAATACTTAAAGCCCTCTAAGGTAATGCCTTTTGCACTAACAATTAAGTAGATGTCATTACAAGATTAAATTCTGGAGTCTGTAACAAAAAGGTTCAATTCAGCTTTATGCACATACCTGAAATACTGTGAATCCCAGGTAATACTCAATTAGAATACAACCAATACTCCAAACATCACAAGGTTGTGACCATCCCAGTGCTGCAAAATATGCAAAGTGTACGTTTCACTTTCTAATACATTCCAAACATAATCCACAAAGGGTATGCCAAGTCTCCATCCATTTCCTGATACGTTTTTCCCTGCATGCCTCTCCACAAAACTTAAAAACAAATGTCAAAACACATTCCCTTAAAGTTTTCAAAATATTTCTTTTATTGTAAGAATAGAGAGAAAAAGTTGCTTTACTCTCAAGAAGTTTAATAGCATCATCTGTGAGAGACTGTGACTGAAAAATTAGAATTGTGAGCATCTACTCCAGTTTATGAAATAGGAAGACATTTGAATGAATTGTAATTAACTGTCAAGAGGCGTGAAAGTCTTTACTTACCTAAAATAACCTCCGGAGCTCTATAATGTCTTGTAGACACTAATGTGCTGTGATGTTCATCATCAAAAGTTGCACTTCCAAAATCAACGACTTTGATATCTGTGTTTTTTAAAGTGCGTTCATCCCGCTTCTGTAAGAGAATTCAAACACTCTTCATTAGTATTTTTAAATGCATACTTAGGTAAAAGCTATTCATCACATTATCAATTTAAAATATCTTCAAAATACCATTTGACATAGTCATGCTAAAATTCAAACCCACATTAACCCCTCCAATCCCTCTCAATATTCCCATTCAGTCCACTCTCCAAGAAGAAAAAGGAGGAGCTGATAACAAGGCAATTTAATCTGAACATTTAGAAATAGCTGACTATCTAAAGACCTTGCCCACTGTAACAGAACTCCTCTTTTGTTAACTTTAATATTAACTCAACTTCAGAATTAGCTATCTCTGCCTGGATTTTGGCTATTCATTGGTATGTACAATCATTTATACCATTTTAACTCTAGAATAAAAAAGCAAAATGGAATTTTATGCATAAGCTAAAGGCGGTAAGTCAATACTGCTTTTCTGTTTCCAGAAAGTTGTTATACTCTGAAACAGAGCAGCAATATAAAAAGAAATCTGTATTTCTCCTAGTGCTAGAAGCGATTTGTGCAGCGAAGCGCTCACCCTAACATTGTGTTCTAGGGCTTTCTCAGATTTAAAAGGAAGACGCTGCTCAAGAACATTCCTATTCTGGGCCTCTGCCAATTTTAACACTGCCAGCAGTCAACATTATACGTTGATGACAAAAAGAACACCCAGCAAGGACACTTGTCTTTGCCACCAAGCCAAAAACTGCCGAACTGACAGGCACTTCAGACACCCTTAGAAATAGCGTAATTAGATACGAAGCAAGATCTGACATCCTTCCCAAAACAAAAAGATGCTTTTAGGAAAGGGAATGAAAGGGCTTCTTTAAGAAATATAAAACAAGAAAAAGCTGGCTAAATTCAAAGCTGTTAACACAAAGTCTCCTAAGAATGCCGAATTCCATTAAACAGCAAAGGCCTTAGCTGTTATCAGATTAAACAGTTAAGTTTGAATCGGAGCAATATTACCAGCTTAGCAGAAAACTAGTGCATCTCAAAGAGCATAAAGGAGCTACAAAACATAATCCCGTTTATCATTTGACCTTTCACATATGGCAATTTTTTTTTTTTTTTAAAGTTCAAATGAAGACCAAAAAACGTCTAATGAGGGCTGGAAAGAAAAGTGCAAACTTACCATTTTAGCATTGTACTTCACTATGTAATCAGACTCCACAAACAAGATATTTTCCGGCTTTAAATCTGTATGAGTTAATTTATTATGGTGTAAAACTGTGAGGGGAAAAAAAAACAAAACAGTAATCCATAAATAATTTCCTTAAAAAAACCCCAAAGTCATACTTGATAAAAGTATTGAGATTTACTTACAATTTATAGACTGACAAATTTGATAGGCCATATTTCTAATGTCATTAATATGAAATGGCAGAAAGCTGTTTTCCTTAATAAAATCGTAAGTACTAAGTCCCAGCAGCTCAAAAACAATGCAAACATGGCCATGATGATCAAACCATTCCAGCATCTGGACACAGCGGCTTAAAAATAAAAATAGTACATATAAATACATGAAAATTCAACCTGTTGAATAATTATCTTTTGCCAAAACGTTAGTATGTTGACTGATCTACTTTTATACTTACAAAGTGCTGCTTGGATCCATGGTATTTAAGTGTTCCAATACCTGTATTTCTGAACGGGCTGCTTCCCGGTATCTACCAACATTTTTCACAATTTTAACTGCTACATGCACTCCTCTCCTTTAAAATAAATTAAAACAACACAGACTGTATCACTTTCTTGTCAAACATCTACAGTCCCAAAGTACCCTCATTTTAATAAAAGGAACCCAGGAAAATTAAAGATAGTAGAGAATTACAAGTATTATTTAGGGAATTTGACTTAATCCCATTTCAAAGGGAGGATTAGTATTACACTTCTTTTTTTTATTCTGGTTAAGATCAAATACCCACCATATATTTTACGTTAACTATTTCTCAGACAGTCTTATCTCATCTACGAAAGAATAAACATCAGGAATCCATCTGCAAGATGATTCCAAAAAATTATCCAAGATCTCATTCAAGAACAGTACAAAAAATTTTAACAACTTCTCTACAACTTGCTAACTTTGTTCTGGCTCTTCTTTCGCCAACTGAATCAGTGGAAACAAATAATTTCCAGAGTTCAGAGTCTGAGCATTTCATACTAGTGAGAACTAACAGACCTGCACTTAGTATGTTTTATAACACTAAGTGCAAGGAAAGGAAACTTGAAACAGAACACACATACACCTAGTTCATCCTGCCAGATTCATTCGTGGACAATTAAAATTGGTCTCTGCACAACTGTTTAGATTCTAATGTCTTAAGAATCTTATCTGCCTTCACGACAGGTTCTCAAGCTCCCGAACAGACATAACTAGTGAAATGACAGAACGAACACACCAAAGGCAGAGGGGAGGAAAAAAAAAAAAAACCCACAAGCGCATCACAGAACTGCGGATACAAAACATATGGTTAAAATGACTTTAATCTGGAGTTTTACTGTTTAGGTGTCCTAGCACACCTGCAGACCGGATGACTGAAGAACTTTAAAAACGATCAGGGAACCTCGCAAACGGATGTGATATCTGAAACTCCTTAAAAACGCTCATCTAGAAATAAGCTTACCAGATAGCTCTCATCTAAAACAGCACTTCTTTCTTAAGTATATTTTAACGTTTCATTTGACCCTAACTTACTATCAAAGAAAAAGTCTTCGGGCTTTAATTTCTCGGCTAAATAAAGTGCATTTTGTCAAGACGTGTAGTTAAAAAGGTAACTGATACTTACATATCATGATCTATGCACTCCACTACTTTTCCAAAAGCTCCTTCTCCTAAAGTCGCAACAATTTCATCTAAAAAGAACGAACACAAGTCAGAATTATGTAACTAACCAAACAAGAATAAACAATATTAATGTAGATTTAAAAATGTGCCATTATAAAAACATAATTACTTTAAATCTCAGCATTTCAATGTGTTATTTTATTGGACAGGTGTCATGAAAACAGTTAGCTACAAAACTATCCCTTGTTCTAATCTCAAGACTCAAGTTCATTTACTACTTGGAACTTTTTGAACACAGTATTTAAATTCTACAGAAAAGAAGATATGCAAAAAAAAAAAAGCACAAAAAAACAAAACAAAAAGAGCAATGAAGATTTCTTTAGCCCCCCTCCTCTGACATACTATTCTAAACAAGATTTTTTGCTGAAAAGTTTTTAAAAAGTGTTGAAAAATGTTCTATACATCTTGCTCTTAGAACGTCTCCACTTTCACAGATCAGGTGACCCTCCTCATCATCCTCTACACTCCTGGATCTTTTCCTTCGGTGACTCTTCTGGAATCGGCACCAAGATCGTCCAGCCAATCAATATATCAGAGTGAATTCAGGGCAGAATACGCAATTCATTCAGCGGGGAGATATTCAGGCATTCAGTTACGCACCAGGCCACGAACAGTTGGCAGGAGCAATTTCAAATTCAGTCCCCAGAAATTCACAGGGCACAGTTTATGTTACAGAAGAAAAACATGGCAAGGAACAGATTTTCAGATAAATACTTAAAGTGATAAGGCAACAGAAAAAAACAACACAATTTTGTCTCTCAAACAGTGGCTTAATTGAAGACAGATTAAGACTGCAATGTCACTACTTCTAATACTTTGCTATCAAATAGCAAAAAACAATATTTATTTATACATCTAAGCTTAGAGTCAGGTGAAATATTTATATTTTTAAAATGCACAAGTTTTGTCATCTAAATAAAAAAAAAAAACACTATCAAGTAATTTTACTTTCCTCGTGTTCAGAGAAACACGAGAAGAAAAATTACTCTAAAGTCCTTGATCTGCAATGTATAATCTAATACAACATTATGTTTCTATTGCAGAAAGGGTGACATAAAACACCTGGAGTTGAAGACGTATCAGTGGGCATGAAGCCAATAATGAAAAACTCAGACAGCATGCCTCAAAAGAAGGCAGAGAGCAAGCATATCCCATCTTTAGTAAGACATTAGCTGCCATTAGTGAGGCACACGACTTAAAAGTTTTCTGGAATTAGGTGTAGAACTGTGCAGCTTGTTCTTATCAATTTACAGACATGCATGTTTCATCCTGCCAATTAAGCATACATTAAAAAGGTACATTACTTCAATTGTTTTTTAGTAATGGGATGGATGGCATCTCACAGTCTACCTGAGAAACAGACATTTCACTACGCTGTAAAACTAAAGTGGTAACTGCATTGTGAAATAGCCACCTGTCTTCATTTTCAAAATACATTTTTCAGGAGAATGCCGGTGATATAATTATTGGCCACCAACATTCCTAGATACAATTAGTACTGATGATAATCCCCCCAAAACTCTGATCCAAAGTCTCAACTAAGAATATATTCATATGCTCACAAATGGATTCAACTACAAATCCTTTATTAATAAAATAATTTTCCCCAAAGTACTGTGACCAGGACTTGAAGTTCTAGCACTCCCTTAAGAAGTCTAGTACCACTAATTCGTTAATAATAAAGTTAAAAGTTACTCATACCGAATGTGATTGGTGACTGGAGCAATGATGTCTCTTATGCTTCCTTTTATGACTACTTTTCCTGCTCCGACCAGAGGATTTGCTATAGTGATGATGGTGACTCTTTTCATAGTCTCTGTGATAATGCCTGTGGTCATATACTTCACAGAAGTCATTTCTGTATTCCTCAACATATCTCCGGTCATGATGGTCTCTTTCATTTATGGCTCTATCGTCCAAATAATGACTGCAAATATATTTTAAGTGAATGTTCTCCACTTTAAAAACTTGAGCTTCCAACAAGATAAGCGACTTGAGCTGAGTTACTGAGTTATATAGTATCCGTCTTTACACCAAGAATGTTTTGTAACCGACTCCCTCCCCAAAAGAAGTGGAGCTTTTCACGTTACTTTATTAGGAAGCTAATGAGATTGTCAGTCTCAAATACACAGCCATCCACATGAACAATACATAATCCATCCACAGTTTGCACAATAAATAGAAATTCAGACTCAAAAAGGGGATACACTTCCTAGAACATACTGAACAACTCAATCACAATTTCTAAAGAAGTCACAGGATAAAGCGCTCTCAATACAGCAAAAAAACCCTCTATGCTTTCAACACTCGCAGTATTTAAAAAACACAAAACAAAGAAAACCCCTGAACAACATCCTCTGGAGAGTCTGAGAGAAGTCAGCATTGTTCTCAGTGTTCTGCATTAAACACAGTAAAAAACAGAGAGAATATCTGGATCAAGCATCTTTTGCCCAGAAAAAGCCCTTAAGAAAGCTGCAGAGGCAAAAAGCCCCCATACTGCTGTACACCTACCCTGTCCAGCATTTTATAAGCATGAATATGAACTCTTAAAAGAATTCCACAGGATCCTCTTCTCAAGGGAAAAACAGAAAAACACAACCTTCCAGTGAAAGCAGTGTGGGAGAAAAAGCAAACCATCTCCAAATTAACCAGATAAATCTAATTCATACTTACCATCGTACTAAGTAATTAAACAAACCTTCTCTTTCCTTGCTTTTGCTCAAGTTAAGAAAAATACATGAAAATACCTACGTTTTACTTGCAGTTTAATATTAAATGTATTCAACACCAGTACGTAACTGACAAAATAGTGACAACGTTTACTGCTTCTATTAAAGCATTTCAATTTAATGGTTTACATGCTGTTTTAAGAAAACCAATTACCTCTCGAGCTTGTCTTAGGTGAGCCAAACCTTAAGGCAACCTTAAGGAACTCTGGACACTTAAAAACTCTTTTTCTGAAAACGTATTTATTTCAATATATATGATTAGAAGCATCACTGCTACTCAGTTCAGAGTCTTATACCTTTCTGAAAAGTGATGTGGTTTATAGTGCTTGTTTTCTTGTCCACTGCTGTGGGACCTTCTCCTGCGTTTATGGCTGCTACTGTGGTTTCTCTGATCCCAGCTCTTTCTATCGTCCCATTCAGGACAATGAGTTCGTTTAGAATGCCGCATCTGTCATTTAAAAAAAAAAAAGAGAGAGAGAAAAAGAGAAAGGGGGAAAAAGACACACACAAAAGCATTACACTGTGCTGTTATTGTAGTTTGGTTAAATACTAGAAAGAATGACTTTCTGAAATAGTTCTTTTTCCCTGCTTACCCCCTCTATTTTTTTGGTCTTGGGCAAGGAGACATAGCTTTCTCATCCTAACATAGTAACACTTCAATCTTGATTTGCGTTTCGTAACACAGGCTCGCTCATCTTCACTTAATACCTTCCAACATGTAATTAAAGTCTATTTTAAATAAACATTTAAGTGACTACACAGATTTCAACAGAAGACTAATGAAGAGAGACCTTAACCTTCAAATATTACCTCCAACAGAATCTAAAGTTTTAGTCCTTCATACTATATTGTAAATAAATTACTACATGAAAGTCATATATATTCAGTCAGTCTAAAACTTAAGTGTTCACAGAAACTTATATACATACCACTGTTAAACAATCAGATTTTAAAAATTATGTCAACAATCACAAAACGAACCCTGATAAATTAATACACAGCTCCACAATACGATGAGCTAACCCGCAGATATGGAACCCTATTAGCATGCAAGTATCCAAGTATTTTACAGTTCAGCTGATTTGCCAGAGACAAAACCCACCAGCTTCTGTTGCTGGATGTTATATGCAGGAATTCTGAGTTCAAACGGGTACATGCATAACTGAAAAACAAGGAAAGTAAAGCACAGCTGTAGAATTAAGAGTAGTTCAAAGCCCAGCATATGTTTTCACTCTTTAACAGGGATATTTAAAAATAAGCTCACATATCTATTTCAGCATATTGTTTCCGAACAATGAGCAAAAAATTGACAAGACAAACTTTCCACATTAATCACTGACACCAAGAGGAGAAGTTTAGGCGCAGATAGCACTAAGGATTAGTGGTATTCCGATCTGTAAACTGACACAAAACAGTGTTGATTGCCTCTACACAAACATATAAACGGCAAATATTTTCACAAAAGAAGTTTTCTGACACTTTTGTACAATATGAGCTAAACTAGTAGTTAAAAAAAAAAAAGAAATCCAGTACCAATTCCATTTCCAGAAATGTGTTTTCAAAATACAAACACTACGCAAAAATAGTGCCTGGTATGTCCTTTGAACCAATTGGGATCCAGGTCTCACAAAAATCCTATTTATTATACGTTACTAAGAAATGAAAATGCTCACATATCTAAGGACAAACAAAAACGCCCAAACGATCAAAACAAAACTAACAACAGTTAGTATTTATTTACATGTCTGCATTTCTTATCTTTTCCTTCTCCCCAGCTCCAAAGCCATTTTTCTCTATTTTCAACCTATGCAACCCAAATTATGAAAAACATTCAGGTTTCAGTCATTCTTCCTCTGGCATGAAGTTCCCCCCCCCCCCCCCCACTCAGTTATAAGGTGAATTGAGGATTTTAATTATGACTCAATTTTCTCCCTGTTTGGCTACAAAGTAGGCTGTGATTAGGCTCTACAGTGAACAGATTTCTAAATAAATCCATCATTAAAGCGTCCTGTGGGGCGGAGGGAGGGGAGGGAGAAGGGGAAGGTGCTCTTGACACAGAAAACTTGAGCAAGGTTTAGTTAAGATTATTGCTGCTTAGCTATGCTGAAGTCCATATGGAGATACTATAATTGAGATAGAATTTGCAAGTTCTGTTCCTAAAGAAGCCAATTAAAAGCAAACGAGCAGGTTATTGCTAGTCTTAGTCTGCGCAAGGCCCAAACCGGCCATAAACCATTTTACAGTAGGAGCCACCTTAAGATTTTTTACTGTTACGCACTCCCTGTAAATTCACGCACTGAAACACTTCAGCTTACGTAAGTGACAGCTGACATTAACATATGCGTTCCTATAGAGCGTGGGGTCCTAACCCCTATCACAGGTCGTTTTCACTCCCCCGTTCTGCCATAGGGACTCTCAAACAGTGGCCAGGGGGCTCTCCTAAAGGATCCATACACAGAGTGCCTGGAGAAGGCCACAGATGTCTTGCCACGAGCTGCCTACAGGGCAACTTCTAAATACCCCTTCTCGAAAACCTGGCAGGCCGTACGACTCGGAGGAGGCCAAAGGCCATTGTTCAGTTCAGATGGCCAAAGTCCACAGGGCTGTTCCGCCCCGACCCGAGCGTCTGGGGGCCATATGCGCAGGAGCGGGTCTTACAGAAGACATCCGCTGCCCCAAACCGGGCCACAAAGACCCCTTCCCCGCTGGTTTTTAGGAGCCGGCCGGGGAGGAAGGTCTCGGCTTCGTCGCCCCCTGGGCAGTAAGACAACTCCGCGCAGGCCGGGCTGAAAAACCGAGCTGCGCGGCCTCCCCCCGCCAAGTGCC